GAGGAGGAGGAGGAGGAGGAGGAGGAGGAGGAGGAGGAGGAGGAGGGGCCAGTCTGCGACGGAGCCCACGCCCAGCGGCGCAGCCCGGCGTCTGCTCGGCCCCGGCGGCCGAGCGCGCAGTGCCTCGTCGGGGTGTGGAGCACAGCCTGCCGGAAATGCGCGGCGACAGAGGAAGCCCCTGAACGCAGCAGCTCCTTCAACGGCTGCGGGAAGTCACCGCGCAGCGCGAGGAGCGAAGAAACCCAGGATACCCTGACGAAAAGCTCATGGTTCCTTGATGCGCGCCCCCACTGTACTGGAGGTGGCCAAGAGGGATCAGAGGCGGCCCCAGCCTTTCAGGAGACCTAGCCATGGACCCCACGTTCCCGACGCGGGCTCGGTGCCCAGCAATGAATTGGGCGCCCGAGTTATCCGGGGTAACTCGGGTCCGGGGTAACTCGGGCTTGGGTTCCCGGAAAAGGAACCCGAGTTAGCCCTGACCCGAATTACCCCTGATGATGTGGGGCACTGGGCGCCCGAGTTATCCGGGGTAACTCGGGCCCAGGGCAACTCGGGTTCGGATTCCCGGAAAACGAACCCACGAACCCGAGTTAACCCTGACCCGAGTTACCCCCGATGATTCGGGGCTCTGAATGAATACCTACCAGACCATCACAACCCAACCCGAAGACCCGAATTTCGGGTTGGGGGGGGTACGGGTTCCATGCGATTTTTGTTCAATGTTCCCGGAGCCCCCCCCCACACTGGAACAAATTGAAGCCTTCGGGTTGGGTTGGGGTGACTTGGTGGGCGGTGAAGCAACGCACGGCCGGTGTCCAACCCAGCAGCGCAAGGGCCGGTGTCCAACCATGCAACGCAAGGCGCGATTTCCGTGACGATGTCGTCACGGAAACCGCGCCTCCAGCAACGCAAGATAGGTGGCCAGCTCAGCAGTGCACTGACGGCATCACGCGATCGGGGTCCCGAGTCCGCGCACTCAGCGTCACGAAATCGGTGACCACTATCACGGCGTCGAAACCCAGCAGCGGACAGACGGCGCCACAGAACTAGTTCTCCGAATCGAGCGAAGTAGCTGCAGCGACCGAAGAGTGAGGGATGGGAGGAGGGAGGAGGGCGAGGAACGAAGAAAAAATGATGCAGGTAGAGGGGTGGAACGAAGAGGAGGGGGAGGTCGAGAGTGAGGGAGCTAGAGGAACAGCAGCAGCAAAAGGAGAAGGATGACAAGGGGAACGAGGGGACAAGGAGGAGGAGGAGGAGGACTAGTGCAAATCCAAGACGCATTAACGATGTTGCAATGAAGCCTCCCTCCAAGTCCCACCAGCCCTCTGGGCGCACGTGGTCTAGCGCGTGTCCCTTTCCAGGTCGTCCCTTCCCCTATTCGGGGAGGTGTACCTCCCCCTCCCTCCCTGGGTCTGGGCGGGGGTGGGCCTGGGGGGGATGAGCGCCCAAGACGGCCCAAGATGGCTTCAAGACGGCTCAACATAGCTCGAGATGGCGCACAAGGTAGCCTCCGACATGCACCCAAGGGGCCACAAGCCAGGCTCAAGACGGCTAGGGGTGCTCGCGGAGCCCTGCAAGGACGCTCCCCCCAAGATGGCCCAAGAGAGCCCCAATACGGCTCCAAGAGGCCCCCAAGAGGGCCCCAAGAGGGCCCCAAGAGCGCCCACGAGGCGCCCACGAGTTCCCCAAGAGGGCCCCAAGAGGCGATGTGTCAGCCTCCTCGGGGGGGGGGGGGGGGCGAAAACAGCCGTCGCCCTTTTTGAACCATGGCCTCCAAGCTCCAAGATCGCCCGAAGAGGGCCCAACGACCCTCCCAAGGAACCCCAAGAGGCCCCCAAGACGGCTCCAGGAGGGCCCCAAACACTGCCAAACTGGCTTCAAGATTGCTCCAGTGGGCTTCCAAGAGGCTCGCGGAGCGAAAGCTCCGCGAGGGCTTCACAGGCCTGCTCGTGCTGACCCAACGCTTCGGTTTGACGGCTTCCCAGCTCTTTGTCCCACTGCATGCTGTTCCACTTCCCTGATCAAGGTAAATCGCCCGGGCATCGCTGCTGATGGGCTGGTAGGGATGATTTGTTTGGTCGCGGACGGACGCGGACTCGCAGTCGCCGAGCTGAGAGGTCTGGGCCACGGGCCTGTCAAATTAGCAACGCGCAAGCCTAAAAGCACAGCGGCCGAGCCCACACTCAGAACCTACCGCCGGTGGGGCCGCGGGCTGATGGGAGGCTGGCTGAGCTGACTGCGCTGGTAGGGATAAGCGAAGAGTCAAGAATTCCCTCCTAATAGGTCCCTGCGAGAATTCGCCCTTGCAGGAAGTGCCCCATTGGAAGGCAACTGTCTGAGAATCTCCAATCGTGCCAACACCTGGGACTTCAGCGCAACGAATCAATGTCGCGCGTCAAAGAGACTGTTGCGTCCGACCAGCAAAACATCGTGCCAAGACACCGTTCCTGGGATTTCAACCATACGAACCTTGAGACTGTTGCACGATTTGAAAATACATGTACGCGGCGCCAGAGCGAGAACCACATTCGAAAACGAGCCACCCTCCATCCGTGAAGCTGCTGCAAGCTTCGAAAGCGAATGTGCGCGGCGTTGAAGCGAGAGCCACATTGTCAAAAGGACCTGTCCTCCATCCCTGAAGCGGCCCCAAGCTTTTAGAACGAATGTGCGCGGCGCTGCGGCTACAACTGCATGTTGAAAGCAACCCGCCCTCCATCGGTGAAACTGCTGCAGGGGAAGGGATGGAGAAGGAGGAGGAGGAGGAGGAGGAGGGGGAGGGAGGAGGAGGAGCGGGAAGACTAGACCTATGAGGAGGCAAAGAAGGAGGAGGAGGAGGAGGAGGAGACGAGGATGACAGGATGGAGAGGGGGAGAACCGTACGGGACCTGCTGGTGAATTCCCCATCGCTTCAATATATGTTCTAGGTATTCTGCCCGACGAGCCCCGCATCCCTTGCGGGAGATTTTTCCCCGACTGACATTCCCATCCTCCACCAGCGCTCGGAATGCCGAACTCAATGTATTTTTGCCCAGCGAACACACAGCGGGTGACTCAACCAGATCGCGAATCAAAAGGTCGCCAGGCAAACCTGACACATGAATTCCGAACTCAAAATATATCTGCCACCGTGCCGTCTGTAGGCATTGACCGGAGTGTTCCCAATCCCTTCGAATCCTCGATATTTGACCTTCGGAAGGGCATGCGCATGGGCCCCAGACGCTCCAGTTTCTGGGATTGCTGGACGCTCTCAGAGTGCGCCACGTGACTTGCATCGAAGCCTCGGGACCGTGGTCCACAAACAAACCTTCCAACATGCCCAGGGGTGGCCCCAGGAATCTGTTCGAAGGATCTCTCAGGCCAACTTGGAGGCCCTAGGGATTGGTCCAAGAAGATCAAACGCACAGACCACTAAGTCAGCCGAAATACTGGTGTGATCGCCAGCGCGGACCCCGAACAGTAAGATGTTACACCCTGAACGTGCAAGCTGGTGCAAGCCATGCGGTGCAAGCCATGCGGTGCGAGCCATGTGGTGCAGGGCTCTGTGGCGCAAGCCTCGTGGTGCAACCTGCGTGTTGCAAAAGCTGTGCGCAGCAACCCCGAAGGCCACGCCCGCGCACCGAGGCGGCGCAGAGGCGGCGACGGGCGGGGAGCGGGCGAGAACCTGGCAGCGCCGGCCAGCGCACGGAGCCGCGGCGACGAGGCGGCGACGAGGCGGCGACGAAACGGCGGCGACGGGGCGGAGACGGCCGGCAGCCGGGCGAAACCCCGCAGACGCCATCCAGCGCGCGAGGCGGCGACGAAACGGCGGCGACGAGGCGGCCACGGACGGTGATCGAGACCCCAGAAGCGCCAGCCAGTGAAAGTCAGAACGCTAGCCCTTCGGATGTGAGAGCTTCCAAGACGGCCTGGGAAGCCCCAAAGGCCAGCCCAAGAGGCCCCAAGAGGTCTCCAAGAACGGCCCAGGAGAGCAGACTCGACCTGGTCCTGGGGGCCCTTCCCCCGAAGATGGCCCCCGAGACCGCCAGCAAGCCTCTGGACCACGACCCAGGCACGGTGGCGGGATGGGCCGAAGGCAGCTAGATGTCTTACCGTTGCCGCGCAACAGAAGCGTGCAACCGCTGGCAGGTAGCTCCTCTACCAACTGTAAGCAGCCGCGCTGGAACACATTCTCTAGGTGCAAGGAACTATGCGCTCCCTCCCCATCCTCCTCTCGACTGGCTCCCCGTGGGCTCTGCTGCACTTTCCAGCGATGTTGGGCCATGGCAACGGTACGCATCCGACTAATGTGATGTTCGCGCCTGCGCCGCGTCTTCCGAATCATAGAGCTCGTGAGTGGTCTTATTTGCGCAGCTTTGGATCGTCGCTTCGCGTGCTCTCCCTGCTGCCCGTTGCACGAGCCCATTCCTGCCCCTCCGACGCGAACGCGCAGACGTCGTTTGTAGACGGCCTCGCCAGCTCTTTCGTGCGATTTGGGGCCGGTGCCAGGAAAACCGAAGAATCTTCGGCTTTCCTGGCACCGTCCACAAATCGCTATCGTCCTCCAACGCATCCTCCCTTGAGGGGGGGAGAACAATTTACCAGCGAGGGGCCGCATCATGAAGTGCCCCTGTCGATCGTGCAACCCGCTGCAGCTGCCATCCACCTCCTCGTTCTCCACTTCTCCTTCCATTTCCGCTCCTCCAAATCGTCGGCGTCATCCTCCTCCTTCTCCTCCTCCACCTCGTCCTCCTCCTCCTCCTCCACCTCCACCTCGACCACATCCTCCTCCTCCTCCTCCTCCTCCTCCTCCTCCTCCTCCTCCTTCTCCTCCTCCATCCTCCACCTCTACCTCCTCCACCTGCTCCTGCTCGTCCTCCTTCCCATTCCTGCTCCTCTGAGATCTCCTCCTCCCCCGTACTACTCCTCCCTCTTGCATCCTCCTCCCGCCTTCCTCCTTCTCATCCCTCCTTCTCCTCAACCTGCTCCTCCTCCTCCTCCTGCTACTACTACTGCGACTACTACTAATACCACTACTACTGCTTCTACTACTATTACTACTACTACTACTACTACTACTACTACTACTACTACTACTACTACTACTACTACTACTACTACTACTACTACTACTACTACTACGACTACGACTACGACTACGACTACTACGACAACGACTACTACGACTACAACTACGACTACTACGACTACGACTACTACGACTACGACTACGACTACGACTACGACTACGACTACGACAACGACTACGACTACGACTACGACTACGACTACGACTACGACTAC